ATTGACCAGTCGGCCGGCATCTCAAGAAACCGACGCTCTGCTGTAGGGTACAGTGGGGAGATAAAAATTTCGTACGGTTTGTTAAGGCAATTTGTATGGTAAAGCCAGAGTGGCGCATCATTCATTAATAATGATTGAAATGAATCGCAATGATTGATAATGATCACTATCAATCATTTCATTGACGACTTACCCTACATAATGATCATTGCATTGTGGGAAAGGCAATGAAATGACGATAATGAAATGATTGGCAGGGCTGAAGAGGGCTGGCGCGAGCCGAGTACGAGAGCCCTCCGCAAAAGCAAACATACGCGGCAAGGGCACCTGGTTATTTCGTGGAGCCCCCTTTATTCAACTTTCCCACTCGAATTCACGGTTGTATAGCCCGTCAATTATCTGCAGTATGTCAGGCCTGACGCCCCCATTTCCATCTGTGGAGGATGTCCCATCTTCTCCGGGGAACCTCGAGGATCGTGGCTCTGAATCCAGAACACCATTCGCCGCCGCTTCCCCAGTAACTCCGAGCCCCCGCACCGGCTCAAGTCAATCCACATCAGCACATGACTGGGAAAGCTTTCCTTGGTCTCAGTCCCCCGACCTAACAATATCTGAGCGGAAGGGGCGACCAGAGTCCTGGATCTGGCAGCATGGTTATGATCTCCAAGAGATCAAGGATGAGACTCGACATAGGTGGGTTTGCCGTGAGTGTGTCAAGAAGAAAGACCCGAAGATCACTGCCCATCTTGCGTCGGCAACATTCAACATTGAGTCTCATCTTGGGAATCAGCACAACATCCACGGCGGCAAATTACAACCACGCCTAGGGAAAAGGACCATCGACCAGATGTTCTCTTTGGCAAGCACCGAGACGCCAGACGTAGATTTCCAGTTTCGCAATAGGCTCAAGAAGCAGTTCGATAAGGCGGTGTTCCAGCGCAACTGGTGCGATGGATTGTGGAGACCAACCAATCCTTCCGAGTATCTGAGAGCGACACTTTTCGCGATCTCCTCGACTACCTGAATCCTATCATCAGTGCGACCAATGCCCATATTTCTCAGGATGCGATTCGACGACGAGTAGCAGATGAGTATCATTTCTTTCGCCTTCACATCGTCAGAGCTCTGCGACAGAGTCCTAGCGCCGTCCACATAGCGTTCGATGGCTGGACTTCGCGAAATCGGCACCCATTGTTCGGAGTCGTGGCGTTTTTCTTGGACCAGAGCTTTCGGCCGCGTAAGATCGTTCTTGGGCTACCCAATCTTACGGACCGCCATACCGGCGAAAATATTGCCGACAGTGTCCGTGACATCATCGAGGCGTTCGAGCTCGGCAAAGAGAAGATCGGCTACTTCACACTCGACAATGCCTCCAATAATGGCAAACCGATGGTTCACTTGGCGCAGCATTTTCAGTGGACCAACGTCATGTCAAGGCGGATCCGCTGCTTTGGCCATGTCATTCATTTGGTAGCCAGGGCTATGCTTCTGGGTAAAGACGACGCGGACGGCGCGATTGAGTATGATCTTGACACCGATGCACTTGAAATGTGGGCAAAGCGCGGCCCAATTGGAAAGCTGCACAGCCTGGTGGTGTGGAGAAACCGCTCAAACAGAGTGACAGAGATGCTACGGGATGTCCAACGGCAGGACACGGACAAAAAATGGCCAGGCTCACTGGACGTCGTCGTGGACAACAATACCAGGTGGCTTTCTCAGTACTATATGATGGGCCGTGCGCTTCAGCTACGTCCTTGTATCGAGGTCATAATCTCGGACATCCAGTATGAAGCTTCCAAGCCAAGGAGGAAGGGATCCCGCCAACATTCGTTGCCCCCGTGTCTCGAAGCCGATGGCTTGCTTACCGAGGACGATTGGAAGACTATCGGGTACTACCACAGCATATTGCGACAATTCGAAGCCTGCGTCAAGGACCTGGAAGGGGATGGGAAACAAAGAATCCGGAAAGGGGGAAAGGAAGCCGCGTACGGGCTGATGCAGGACATCTGCCCTGCGTACGAGTTGTCAATCGGCCATTTGGAAGAGGCAAAGCTTGACGCAGACCGTACGCCCGAGCCTGCCCACTTCAGGACAAACATCAACCTTGCGTGGGCCAAACTGAACAAGTACTATAGCACTATTGACCAATCACCTGCCTATTACGCCGCAACTGTTCTGCACCCGGCGATTCGTTGGGACTTCCTCCGTCGAGCGTATCGCGAGAGACCAGAGTGGATTGAGAAAGCACAACAGCTTCTCAGCGACATCTGGCAGGAGTACAAAAGTTGCCTGTTCAGTTCGAACGGAACCCGTTCGACGATGTGCGGCCAGTAAAGCGAGCCAAGGAGGCAGAAGAGGCAGTGGATACCTTCTCTTCGTACTTGGACAGCTTCAAATCGACGGCGATGGAAATTTCTCGGGAAAGCACTGGTGATGAGCTTGATCGGTGGCTCCACCTAGCGGATCCTGTTGAGAAGGACTGCGATCCATTCTTATATTGGTTCAACAAAAGATTTGACTATCCTCGCCTTACGCGTATGGCCATAGACATACTCTCCGTGCCGCCCATGGCCGCTGAATGCGAGAGGGTCTTTTCCTCGTGTGGCAACATGGTCTCGGCGAAACGCTGTCGATTACAAGCCGAAACAATCGCTATCACACAAACCGTACGATCATGGCTACGGGCAGGACTATTGGATGATTACGATGGGCTGCTGAAGGACCTGGTGGAAGTGGAGTTCAACGAGACGTAATACGACAGGCGCCCACCTGGGGCACGACCTGGTCATTGTGGACCTTCAATCATTAAATCATTATCATTTCATTCTCAGTCCTACAATGATCATTATCATTACTGCGTCGCTTATTCATCAATCATTTCCTCTCATTATCTAGGTGATAATGATTGATAATGATTCATGCGCCAGCCTGGTCACTTGGACCGATGGACGAGACAGCCTATCAGCTGCCGCGCGGGGGCAAACTGGCGAGGCATTGGGTCATTCTCTGGTAAAGACGCCGTCATACCGGAGGTACGTCTTGCTTCTTGGTGCTTCGTAGGGTTGCCATCCAGTCCTATGCATGTCATGCTACGTCACTTCGCAAGGGCTGCAACCTGTTCAAAACTATATGAGCTTTCTATGAATCACATCGCAATACCACACAACATCGGCCCTGCCACTGCAGCTTCCAGTGCCGAAACTTTATTCTCGTGTTTACGTGATAGCCCATCGGAGTGGATTTGCTGGGAGAGCGGCTAGCCACTCGAGAAGTCGGATACACGGCCCAATTCCCACCATGATTCCTTTCTTCTTTCCTCCCTAGCTCTAGGTATAACTGTACAGCAGCTTCATGTTGAACAAATAGCGATCTGAACTTTTGATGATAGCAGAAACAGAACGGACTAAGCGGTATTGTCAGTCTGCAAAGAGTCAGACAAACATTGGGAAAAGACATACTCTTGCTCACCCCTCCATCCAATACACTTTCAGCAATCAAAATTGTGTCATTCCCGGTCTAGGCTTGCCAGTTTCGTCGCAGCTGGACGGACGTAGAGGCAAAGCGACCTTAACAAACCTTGCTAAAAAGCTTTGAATGTGATCAACAAATTGCATGTCTCGCAAGAATGGAGTTGCAGCCACTCTACGAAGATCTTCTCAAGTTTTAGTGTACTCTGTGTGTGGGGGCGTGGCACGAGTCAAAGATACAACAACAAGGGCGGCGACAGCGCTCTGGAGCGCTCTCACGGCTCCCTGGCAGTGCCAGTGGCCCGGTTTTTTGATTTGTCAGTAGACATCAGTTCAAAGACATTGACAGCTCTTATTTTGGCTAGAAAGAATGGTCATTATTCTATGGAACCTGCAAACGTAATGGGCTGCGGCAGCACGGTCAGAGGATAGCCAGGCCGCGGACAATTTAGCCTTCCACGCGCTGGCCATCGTCCGTCTCTCATGTGCTACTGCGGGAAGAGATACTTCAGTGGCTGCTAGCATGCTAATCGAAATATCATATTTTCTAGACAAACGCCGTTGAAAATCCACTCCACGAACGAATGGTGCTCCTTGTTAATGAGTTGGATTGCAGAATATAGACATCCTCACATCCATTGAGTGTCACTGTCGTCATTGTGCGATCATCAGACAGCCTTTTGGCCATCGCAACAAAAGCATTGAAGTCTCGCACAACTTAGCCATTTATTCTCGTAAATGAACGCCCTTCCTGGTAGAGAATAGAAATCTGCGGTTGATCCTGCCCGCACATGCGTTA